CAAAATATGACTCATATAGAAGACATTTCCCGCACTCTAAACATTAACACACCTCCTAGGATGTGTGGGTTCTCTGATGTCTGGCAAGACACGTATTCTGCGAAAAACCTTTCCCACACGTGACACAGGAATACAGCTTCTCACCTGTGTGAGATCTCTGATAAGTGGTGATTTGCATGGATAACACTTCCCGCACTCAGAGCGTGAAAATAGCTTTTCCCGTGTGTGACATATTTCATGTTCAGCAAGACTGGTCTTCTGTACAAAACCTCTTTCACACTCAAGGCAGGAATAAAGCTTCTCCATGTGAGACCTCTGTTTGTAAAGAGTGCTCATATCCAAAAAAACGTTTCCCACACTCAGTATGGGAATTTGCCTTTTTCCGCAGTTATGAAATCTTTGGTGTAAACCAAGTCGCCATTTCAGATGGAAACATTTTCCACACTCAGGACAAGCAGAAGGCTTCTCACCTGTGTGCAATCTCTTAGGTCTGAAAAGGCAGAACTACTTCAAAAGCACTTCTTCATATATAGTATGTATACGACATCTCCCCCATGTGACATGTTTGATGCATAGCAAGGTCTGATTTCTGTTTATAACATATTCCACACTTGGGGCAGACGTAAAGCTTTTCACCTGTGTGCAATTTTTGATGCCTGGAAAAACTAGTCCTATGTGAGAAACTTTTCCCACACTCGGGGCAGGAATATGGCTTCTCACCCGTATGCAGTCGCTGATGTTTGGCAAGACAATATTTATCCGAAAAGAATTTCCCACACACAAGGCAGGAATAGGGCTTCTCACCCGTGTGCACGCGCATATGTCTGGTAAGAGTGGACTTATCTGAAAAACGTTTTCCACACTCTGGGCAGGAATATGGCCTCTCACCAGTGTGCAGTCGCTGATGTTTGGTAAGACTGGATTTATCTAAAAAGCCTTTCCCACACTCATGGCAGAAATTTGGCTTCTCACCCCTGTGCAATCTCTGATGTTTACAAAGATTGGACTTGTTTGAAAAACTTTTCCCACACTCAGGGCAGGAAAATGTCTTCTCCCCCTGAATTCCGGCACCATCCCCCACAAGACGAGGTCGCTCAGAGTCAGAGGGAGTCCATGGTCTCTCCACACTGTGAGGTCCACCATCCATAGCTGAGCTCATTGTCTCTTCTCCCGCACAATCTGCTGTGATGTCCTCATCTTCCATCTTACAACCTGGAGATAAAGTCAGACGATCCTTTGAGAGTTCCTCCATGGCGTGTCCTGGAAACATAGAGACACATGATGGAGAGATAGGAGAGGGTTAGATGACTTCACTCAACATTCCACCTGGATCAGGAGGTCTGAGGGAGCGGATGTTCTATGAGGAGAGCCCAACCAGCCGGGACTCCTCCCCTCTTCACTCAACATTCCATCTGGATCAGGAGGTCTGAGGGAGCGGATGTTCGATGAGGAGGTCCCAACCAGCAGGGACTCCTCCCCTCGTTAGTTAAGAGTTCCACCCCCTCTGGACCAATCAGTGTCTATCTTGGTGACTTCTAGAACCTTCTCCATGTTGGGTCTCTGGGGTTTTAGGGAATGAGGTGGAGGCACCGTAAAGGTCATGTGACCACCAGACTTCACAATTGGATAAATCTGTATTGAAAGTGGAAAAAAAAAGGTATCATGTGACCTCCCAGAATCCTCCTCACCCCTCCGGTCAGGTCATGTGACCTCCCAGAATCCTCCTCACCTCTCCGGTCAGCAGGTAGATGATCTCCAGTGTGAGGTTTAGTATCCTCTCGGTCATGTGACTCCGGTCCTCCTCCCCCATCCTCATGGATGTGGTCATGTGATCTCTGGAGGTCTCTCTGTAGAGGAGAACGAAAGTGAAAATGTCAAGTGGCGGTGTCGGCACTCAGTGCTTGCTGACACCAAATCCGGAGCAGATCTGCACGAGTTTCTGCGCATGCATTTTGACGCATTCCGGTCCGGGTTTTTTTTTTCTAAGCCTATAATGTGCTTTCAGGTGTAGTCCGGGGCGTTCACATGCGTTTTAGGTGCGTTCCAGAGCAGAAAAAATAGGGCATGCTGCAGTTTTTCCACGTGCTCTGGAACCTGTTGACG